GAAAGGCATGGCAATTGAAAAAGAAATGCACACAATATTTGAACAAAAACAACTAAATACTGTAGTGAATAAAATGCAAATAGAGATATTTTATCCTTCTTGTTAAAAATGAAGCCTTTTACTGGGAACCATGCCACAGCAAAACAAACATCCCTTTTATCTGATCAACCCTTTTATCTCAACATTGCTGAGAGATAAGGATTTGGCACCGGCTACAGACACTTAAAAAAATATTGGAATTTGTGAAGTCAAAGACCAATTTCTAATAAACCCGGCTGATGTTCTGCAGACCACCAAGAAACATAATGTTGTGCAGAATTGTAGAAAATTCTTAAATTCAGTACTGATTTGGAAGCCAATTTTCTGCAGTTCTTAAAAGAGCCGGCTTTCAAATTGAGACTGAATTTAAGAATTGTCCACATTTTTTCCTGCCCGCTCTTAACAGTTAAGATAAAATAGTTTTATAGGCTACGACTTGGTGGAATTTCAGGCCCATTGACTCACTGCAAATCTCAATTAGGTCACCAGGAATTAGTGATAAACCTTCCCCAATGGCACTCATACTCCGGCTGAGAAAGCAAGCATGTACCTTACACTAATGACATAATTGAGCGGTCAGATGCTTAGTTATTATTACTAAAACAAGGCATCATCTGCCCGATCAGATGGGTATTAAAGATCTCATGATGCAATTGAAAAGCAAACGGGGTTTCTGAGTATGTCTTGATCACCAATGTTCCAGATGATTCAGTTCATTTATTTCATGTTATTTTATAAACTGTACTTAAGAGTAATAACTCAGGAAATGTCTTGAGATATTTCGATGTGGGATAAGCACTATAATAATGCAAGTCTTTCTCCTCTCACTCCCCCAGCAAAGAACATTATGAGGAAAACAGTAGTTCTTTAAAAATCTTCTATACCCCAACACACATTTTAGATAAATATCTATCGGAAAAGCATTTGTAAGAATCCAGCAGCTATGAGGTCTCGCAAGCTCCAATAAAACAATCTTTTCAATTTGCTTGGTGAAATTGGCAGAGGTGATATTGGATAAAAATTACTTGTACCTGGTAAAGTATCACTGTTAAATAAGGAATTCACTCCAGCTACCATTCAAGTATCCACCCCACCAGAATTGAATAAAGCGGGTAAGTTTCATTCAGTCTGGCAAGTTTGGAAAAGAAAACAGACAAAATAACAAACGGACTTTAAAATTAAATCTGAAGTCTTTGCTATTATCCCCAGAGGATTCCTGGCACAAATCCATCATAAACAAGATCCTCCAGAACATTAATTTACAAACTTGGCTTTTGATGTTCCCTGCGACAGCCAACTGAATGCTGATCTACACAACTGTTCAGTACTATGCAGATCGAATAGATGGATTGATGAATTTAGAAAGCGTGCACTCCTGTTTGGAAACCTGACAGGATGAAAAGAGACTCCAGCTCTTATTGCTTCCCAGACAATGGGGGTCTTAACAAAAGTTCCGATGTCAAAGGCGCAATGAATGAATAATGATAGTTATAGTTTGCAATCTCTGTGAGATGTCTTGCTTCCTCAAAACAGAAACAAACGTTGAAATATATTGACAAAAGGCACACTGATTAGCAAATATTATCAAAGGTATTTGCTTGCCACTTTTACTAGATATTTGTGATATTCAGTCTAACAAGTACATCTACTTTATGAACTACTGAAATAATATATTCTATAAATGTGAATGGAATTAATTTGAAAAATAATATTTTCCCCAAAGCCTGAAGAAGTACCATCCAAAACTGCAACATTTCAGAAGGCTATTTTAGTCTCTATATTTGATATTAAATCAGTTATGCATTACTAAAGTTGTGTTAAAGTGTACTCAGCAGACATTTTGAACGTTTCTAAGAATGGATTGGTACATGACCAACGGATTTAATTATCTTCCCAGGATATCTATTTTAAGTAAAGCTGCATTATAATATAATGAGAAAGGATCCCTTTGAATGCATTTGTATTGCATAATTCTCAGTGTATATACTGTCTTCAAATGTGTCTATTTGAAACTAAAGTTATGGACCAATTTTAAACCCTTGAATCACATGATTTTGGCTCAGTATAGACTGAATAAAGAGTGATTGGATTGAATAAAGAGTGAGAAAGAAGCCACCCCAATCCACATTTCTGAGGAAAATTATAAGGACTTGCAATGTGATATTAATTGGATAGTGGAATTATACCACTGTTTGCATCATTGATTCACTTCCTGTAGCTCAGTGGTTAGAGCACTCACCTCACAAGCAAGAGACCTGGGTTTGATTCCCAGCAGGGCGAAATGTTGGGCAAGTTTCCTTATTCCACACACCTTGGTTTACCTAGCAGTAAGTAGGAACCGGGTTGTTAGTCGATTGATGGATCGCTTTTCCGGGGGTAATAATTCCTTCAAAAAAACAATAATAAATTGGTCACTTCAATCCACGACTGTTTGTGGGACACTGCTGTGCGCAATTGCCCACTTTGCCCACAAAATACACAGTCAGTTCACTTTACATATTTTTTATATTCTGTGAAGCACTTTGAAAAGTCTAGAAGTCATAATAAGGTGCGATATCAAATGCAAGGATTATTATTATTTATTACTTCAACAAATGCATTCAAGTATGAATTCCAATTCAATCATGAATAATTTCACAAAAGTATTCACCAATCCAACATAGGTTTTCTGTCCCCTTGATGAGCAATAGGGATGGAATTTGGCAGGTTATTCCCCATAACCTCATGCTACAAATCCGTGACACAAAAGAGAACAAACTCAGTGGGATATGTAGTTCATCTGCTGTTTGTGTGAAAAATGCAGTCTTCTCTATTGCTAAGATTCTGTCAAAATCATCAAGAATGTTGGTCAAATCTGGATTTCAACTGTTCAGGAAGTAAGTAGAAAGTAAGAAACAAATACAGAAAGTATGGAATATCTTCTAGTGCACAATTTACCTCACTAAAGAAACTTTAATCTGCTTAGGGAAATGTGAATAGCCAGAGATACTACTTCCAAGATTAAACTGAATTTCCATCCTGACCTCATCAAAAATTTTGTGAAAAATTGAATATCAACTGGAATGTGATGATATGCATTATTAATGACTGTCTGCATTCTATATAGGGCATTCCTATTGTTCTATGATGAAATTGATGAACATTGTCCAGATTCATCATGTTTCTAATCTGTTGGTACCCCGTCTGTGCTATTCTGAATGCTGTATTGTGTAGTGCTACTTTACTGTGCTTCAGTAACCGTCAGAATGTAACATGACAAAGCAAACTGCTGAATCTCAAGATGTTCTCTTGGAGTTATCTGGATGGCCCTAAATTGTCCAAAACTGATGGCACTGGTGACCTTACTGATAATGCTGTCCTAAGGTGGATGTTTCCTTATAGGCTTATGTGGATGAGGTGGCAAACCCCAGGTCCAACCTTAGTTGTTTAAGGCTTGAGTCTCTTCAGACTAGAACAAGGACTTGAGCACAGCAGAGGTGAAGATGAACAGACAGTTTGGATTGAATTATTTTACACAGAGAGAGGTGACTATGTGGAGCAGACTATTCGAGGAGGCAGTAGATGTTGACATTTTCATTGACTTTATCGAACAGAGGAATTTGGAGCCCACAATTTTTTTTTAAAAAAAGGAGTTGGAGGAGAAAACAATTGTATAATTTTAAAGAGACGAAAAAAGTTTCGCATTTGCCTGTTGTGATTTAGTCACAATTGTGAAGAACGTGGAGTCCTGTAGCTCAGTGGTTAGAGCACTCGCTTTGCAAGTGAGAGACCTGAGTTCAATTCCAGGCAGGGCGAAACCTTGGGCAAGTTTCCTTACTCCACACGCCTAATAATAATCCCTCCAAAAACCAAAAACAATAATAAATTGGTCATTTTCAATCCACGACTGTTTGTGGGACATTGCTGTGCGCAATTGGCTGCCGCGTTCGCCCACAAATATACAGTCAATTCACTTTACAGTATATTCTGTGAAGCGCTTTGGGACGTCCTCCCGACGTGAAAAGCGCTATATCAAATGCAAGGATTATTATTATTATTATTATTATAACGTCAAATGTTCTCATACGACGCCTTTAACATATGATTTAATCGGAGCAGAGTTTATACGGCTTTAAATGTGCTTAGAGCTAGATATATTTGTGACTAGCAGTGAGCAGATGCTTGCTGATTAGTGGATTATAGTTAACCCCAGTGATTGTGCTAGTTCAGGGAATATGCTATTAAAGACCATAGTTTCCATTCTGTGTGCCAGGACTAAGTTACATTGGTTTCTGACTTCTGACTACATAATGAGCGTGGATTTTAGCCAGCTTTGCAGATGGACTTGCAGGGATGGACAGATGGTAAATAATTAGCGTGACTGAAACTATATAAAAATAAACCATTAGTGCATGCTCCTGACTTCATTACATTTAGTGCGAAATAACAGTTTTATAGCATTTTCCTTGTACGTTTAATCGGGAAACATGATTTTCTGCAAATTCTGACTGTTAAATATAGTTGAAGCCCGTTAGCTGAGATACACTGGTAGATATTAAACTTCCCATTTATCTCTATTAATTGGTTTTCTCTACTGAACGAAGCCCATCAGTATTGACTCATGTCTACTGGAAATAGAACTGTGGAAATATCTCTGTAAAAGAAAGTCTCCGTTGGATGGTCCCAAGTGGATTATAAGGTAGAGTTTTGTAGTTGTGATGAACACAAAGCAATCTATTACTCTGGAGTTCAAAGGGATAACAAGAGACTATTACCAGGAATTTATGGCTTCTGAACAAACTTGTTTGCTGTTTGGTTTAGTTGGTAGCACATATATCTCTGGATCTGAATGTCACGGGTTTTCAGCTCAGAATAACCCAGAGCTGAGAGAGCGATACATTATTGGAGTTACTCTCCTTTGGACAGGAAGCTAATTCAATGATTTCTATCACTTATACATGTTCTCTGTTTTTCTTTTGCAGGCAACATCTTTGTCGTCAGTCTGTCTGTAGCTGACCTTGTTGTGGCAGTGTACCCTTATCCTCTCATCCTAGTTGCCATTTTCCACGATGGATGGACACTTGGTGATATTCACTGCCAGATTAGTGGATTCCTGATGGGTCTGAGTGTCATTGGATCAGTTTTCAACATCACAGCGATTGCAATCAACAGATACTGCTACATCTGCCACAGCTTCAAGTATGATAAGCTGTACAACCACAAAAAGACAATCTGCTACCTGTGTTTAACCTGGATTTTAACCATTCTCGCAATCGTGCCAAACTTTTTCGTGGGATCGTTGAAGTATGACCAACGTGTATATTCCTGCACCTTCGCCCAAACTGTGAGCTCGTATTACACAATAGCCGTGGTTGTCATTCACTTTCTGGTCCCCATTGCCGTGGTGACGTACTGTTATCTGAGAATCTGGGTTTTGGTCATCCAGGTAAAGCGACGCGTTAAACCGGAGGAAGCAAGGCTGAAACCAAGTGATTTCCGAAATTTCCTCACTATGTTTGTAGTCTTTGTGCTTTTTGCAGTGTGCTGGGGACCTCTAAACTTTATTGGCTTAGCTGTGGCCATAAATCCTCTGGCAGTTGCACCAAAAATCCCAGAATGGTTGTTCATTATGAGCTATTTTATGGCGTATTTCAATAGCTGCCTTAATGCAGTCATCTACGGTCTCCTCAATCAAAACTTCAGAAACGAATACAAGAGAATACTGCTGTCACTGTGGTCTCCAAGGCTGTTTTTCATGGATCTATCAAAGGTCGGAACAGAGGGAGTGAAGAGCAAACCTTCACCTGCGGCAACAAATAATAACCAAGCAGAAGTGGATGTGTAAACCAGTGCTTGAAAATACACCTGTTGTGACTGAATATCATTATCAATTCCAAGAGATCTCCTGAAACAGCAAATAAATCATTTGTACTTACCCTATCCGTTCTATTACAAGTGTTATAATTTACTGTCTTTATTCACCATGTGCCTCTACTCTTGGATATATCCAATTTTTAATTGCTTAGAAAAATTGAGCACAGCAGTCTTTGCGGGAAATGTTAAGCTTAATACCCAGCATTATAAAGGAATTTGATGTCTGTGCACTGCTTTGATAGTACGCTTCAAGTATGATGGCTTCATTGTTACTTGGGACATGTGTTTTTTTTAAGAAAGAGGAAAGTATATTTAACGTGAATTAGTCTTGCTTTATTTTGCTAAGACGAATGAAGTCTTGAATGACGTTGGCTGATCACATTGTAAACCAAATATAAGCATCCAGTGTGCCATTTTGTTATGATTTTGGAGGCTTGTTTACAGTATTCCTTAATACGGAGTCCTGATTCATTTTCCAACAGATCTGAGATCAGTAGTTTTTAATTAATCATGACCATACTTAGTTGTTAGAAGGTTCACAAGATGCAACCACATTGAATGAGGAGGATGGATGTCTATGTGTGTAACCCTTTAATTTCTGAGTTTGCATACACTTCCTGGATGTGGAACACCAGCAAAAATAATCTTTTGTAAATTTCTTATGCTAACTCTTGCAAAGTACAATGACAGTGTATATGTATCCCAGAGAACTTTTTTTTTTAATTTACAGTATTCTCTGAACATAGAAAAATAATTCTCCTCATTTTATCTTCATGTTGGCTCGGAGATACTGCTGAAATCTGAAAAGGCTAAATAAAAGAGTACTTGAAGAGAAAGACCTAAAGTTTTATTCTCGATTATACTTGGGCAGAAAACTGACTGCATCATTTAAAATATATTTTAAAAAAGAGTTTTTTTTAAGTACCTCATTGTGACTGGGGCTGTATCATCCCAAAACCTTTTAGAGATGTTACTCAGAACTTTGCATCAATTTTCCATTCTACTTATTTTCCTTTATGTACAAATCATTTTCTCTCCATTGAAGATAACACATTGCACAAACAAACAATGTAAGGATTGAACATGACCAGATGCAGGAAGTCTTTGAGATATCAATTGGCAACAAAATGGTAAATGACCTTTTTTTTTGTCCGAAGTGCTTTTGACGATTTGCTTTTGTTTTGTAATTCCTTTCACAATTTCTAACTTCTTACATTTTTGTGGAGATAAAACGTTTACACATTGTTAAAAGTATGGTGTCAGTGTATGGTACCATCTAACTTGTTCATTAGAAGCACAATTTTAAACATTCAAATCCTTGATATAAATAGAATACATAATATCCTAAATAGTGTTGCGGACTTATAGTATTAGAGAAAGTTCCAATGCAATTCAATGCAAGATGCACATTGACTCATCAATATTTGCTTATTGGATGCTATTCCCAACCTCTTAGGCTGACAGAATAACCATGTTAACTAAATCAAGTAAAATCAGATGCTTAGGTTCCCTTCTAATATTTGTAATGCTTCATCCATACAAGTATGTGTACATGACAATGTTTAACATGCACATTTGTGATACTCTTCAAAGTTTCACAGGAATTACAGTGCCACTATCTGAGGCAACTTGGCTGTATAGTGTGAGATGGTATTGTTCCTTGCATCTTGTTTGCAACAGGCAGGTAACTTGAAGGAAAAGAACTGACACCTCTCAGCAGTCTCTTCAGAGCACAGTGGCTTGTTTGCCTTAATGCTGCTTGTTAGTGAGCTAAAATGATTTTCACCAATAGTCCAAAAGTGTTGCATCAATCTGTGTTGCAACTACCATAAGATTGTGTGGCTGCTCAGTGAGTCATTGTTCGACAGCCGACATAACATAATATTCAGTTTTCGAGCTATCTATCACCCCGCTTCTATCACCCTGTTCCCTCCCTCATTGTCCTTCATCATCGATGCTTCTACTTCAGTTTTGGACTGAAGCTGAACATTATTTTAATATAATGTGCCAAAGCAAAGTTTTCGTTCTAGATTCAGGTCACTATCACTTGATGGGAAATTCTTCACACTTGTTACGGTACCTTGTATTTTGTGTGTTGGAATATTTGGAAAGGTGGGTGGGTTTGCACTGGCAGGTCAAGTGGCCACTCTGACAGGAGATGATCCTGAAATGGGCTTTGTTCAAGGTGGTTTGTCAGTTTCATTGAATTAAACAACGAGGATCTAATAGATGGTGATTTATAGCAGGATTCCTTCATGTGGGGATCCAGGTGGAAACACCTTGTGATAACCAGAAATACAGAACACAAATCACGTTGAGCCTGGAGGAACTCTGCTCTGAGAGCAGATTTTTGTCAGAATGGAGTTCCCACGAGTCATTATGGGGTATGTCTGTTTTTTAATAAACTGTCTGAATGTATAACATGCATTTTATGCTAAAATCCCCTAAAAGAGGGTACCAACCAGTCCCATTTGTGATAGTCTCTATTAACTATTGTTGCACAAGCTTTGAGAAATAAGAGCAGATAATGGATAATCATACCTGCATGAACAGTAACTGCCATTACATTTAAAAGCATTTATTGTGGGCTAAATGTTTGAAATTTGTACCGAAAACTAATCTATGTGAATAAAGTTTGAAACTTATTTTTTTTAATCTCCTCTTGTGCTTCAGCTGTTAACAAAATTACTTTATTTAATAATAATCATAATAATAATAATCCTTGCATTTGATACAGAGCTTTTCACGTCTTCTAGACATCTCAAAGCGCTTCACAGAATATAATGTAAAGTGAATTGACTATATTTGTGGGTGAAACATGGCAGCCAATTAATTGCACACAGCAGTGTCCCACAAACAATCGTGGATTGAAGTGACCAATTTTTTTTAAGTTTAGTTAGAAGACTTGTTCTCCAAGGGTGTGGACTATAGCTTTTAATCTGTTCCTTGACAAACTCCGCTGTTTGAATTTAAAAATGCTCGTTCAGAAATAACTAGCCCTCAGTAAGTAAGAAACAGAAGTCCAGAGTCTAATTCTGTTTGCACTGCCCGAATAATTCGTTTCTAAGCTTGTAACATGATGCTTTTTAATATTAATATTAGTTTCTTATTTTAAATGGCTCTCTCTCTGGATAGTGCAAATGGGATTCAGAATGAGGATTTTTGACACCTCATTTTGAGTGATGAAGCAGCCAGCACTGCAGTATTATAATGGCAAAGGAATAATAACATTTTTAATGTACTACTGGTATCCACTATTTATCAGCAGATTTTGTCAATGACACTTCATATAGTTGTAAGAAGAAATTTTCACTCATTCCAGTCAGTGTTGAGAAAATACAGGTTTGTCTAATCTTTTAGAAGCTCACAGGAGAATCGTATTGATATAAAATATCTTGTTACTGCAAAGACATTTGGAATTAGACACACATTTCTATTTTAGCATAGATTCTAGTTATTTTTTCCATTTGTAAGACAAGTTCATATTGTCTGTAGGAGCTTGGTAGGGAATCATAAAAGTGCACAAGGAATAAGTTAGGGCAGTCACATCCTCTGGGTAGCTCTTTTCATATATATTTCAAAACGTCTAATAATGTTTTGCATATGCAGTCTGAACTTCATTAAAATGACCAGAAGACTAGAGGAGCAGTTTCTTCCTCTGTTCCTTTTTCTGCTCCAAAGCCTGTAGGAAGTTTACGTTGATTTGCAGACATTAGGATAAGCACTTGGAGTGGAGTGGAATAATGTTTCTTGCTATTAAAAAAAACAATTGATCACATTACCAATTAAACCAAAATCGTTCAGTAGTCTCTTTGGGAGCGTCAGATAAATTAAGTCATTCTGATCATTGGAGAATAAAGTCAATGGGAGGTAAATGATTTGAATAAAACACATCTCGATTACAACCAACTCATTATAAATAATAATAACAATAATAATAATAATCCTTGCATTTGATATAATGCCTGTCACTCTGGAGGAATCTCAAAGAGCGTGATGACTGTAAAGTGCAGTGACTATGTTTTGTGGGCAAATGTGGCAGTCAATTTACTCAACGCAATGTCCCAAAAAAGCCATAAAGTGACTGACCAATTTTATCAAGAGGATTGTTGTCCAATACCAGGAAAAACTCCCTTCAGTTTTTGAGTAGAGCCATGGGATCCTTCATGTGCACCTGAACATAATCCAATAACACAATGCTCCACATGTACTGTATTGGGATGTGAACCTGGATTATAACATTCAAAGTCTCAAAAAAAACAAATGTCAGGTTCGCCAGTAAAGCATTGCTGACTATTTGAGTTAAAAAGATATGATTGCAATTGAAATAGATTGAAGCATTTCTCTACCATATTAGAGTACACAACCAGTAATTCCAATGCCAAAACCAATGCCAGGCTTAATTAATTGGTATTGAATTTCTCCAGAGCTACACATGGACAATAAAAGCAACATAAAAAATTACATGAGAATACTATTTGATCTTGACAACTGTAAATCAAGTACTATCTCCCAAATAAAAGAATAAACATTGCACCTGTTATTGATTTACTATTGCCATTTCTGTGTTAGACACAATTTATCTCTTGGCAAGAAGACAAGAATCACATTTTCCAATCTTCAATAGGTGTTGAAACCTCTGTGAATCAGAACTACCTCTCACTGTTGCTAGATTGTGGTCCTCTCTTTCCATATGATGTGAAGGACTTCATCTTATAGATACTTAAATGCAGGCTTTGTAAACCATAAACGTCTATGGTATATGTTCATCGTAGTCTTGTTCTCCAGTGGTTACATATGTACATAAGCAGAACTATGACAACCTTTCTACTCAATTAACTGTTTCAGAAATGATGGCTGTTTCAATCTATATGATGTGAGTCTCTATGATAGTTACATTCTACTTGCCAGTGATTGATTGATCTTGATGGTTCATATCAAGTGGATAACCAGCTATAGGAGCTTACAAGATCGTTATTGATACCGTTAGTTCCCATAGCTAGTGCTCCATATCTTCTT